CATTTTAGGGGGATATGTGATTCTTGCACTAGTTTAGCTCATACATGAAAGCTTCAGCAGATGGCAAGATCATCACCAAGATGATGTGCACTTTCAAGACATGTGGCATTCTTTGTTTGCTATTATGTAAGTAATCCATAACTGTGGAAAGGTATCTGCTGCTTCCTTCAACTGTTCTCTGAACGTCTCTTAGAAGAAGGCAGAGCGTATGAAGCAGGGCTACTCTCACAAGCTGCAGACCTCTTGGTTCAAATATTTCCTTTACCAGCAGTCACGCACTGCACTCCACTGGAAGTCTCTTGTTTCAGTTCACCTTACTGTCTAATGAACTTTCCATATTTTCTGGTTTTGACTACTCGTATTCACTAACAGTAGTTACAGAGAGAAATACTGGATCAGTTTAAGAAAATAATTATAATAAGCCACACTCCATTACTGTTATTAATTGAATGTGCCCATTGAACGTTAACAGTTAAACCATTTCTGTCCTATGTCTGAAAGAGATGATGATAGCCTTTGAAAAGCAAATTAAAATAACTAACAAACTCAGCATATTCACTTATTTTGAATGTCATTCTAGTCTATAGAGTTTTCTAGTCACAGTCTACAGGTTTGTGCTACTGAAAGAAAAATAGTTAAACAGACAAGAATGTTTTTCAGATAGTTTATTGCATGAACTTACAGTATAGAATTGCTTATATGGACAATCATAAATAGGGCCTCTACAGTAATGCTGACTAAAAGCAATTTACTCATTTGAAGCTTTTGAACGTAAAACTTCTGTTAAACAAAAAGCCAGGCTCAGGTTCAATGGAATTTAGTTTTGAGAGTAAACACATTAAAAGACAGATATCTTTTTAGTAAGGCTAGGGTAGGGACCTGGCTGAGCTCAAAAGATATTTTTTGACAAGGTACTCAACCTACCTGTGTCTCAGGTTTCCCAGGAAGATATGGAGGATAATAGCCTTTTTGTCCTTGCACTGGATTGTGAAGCTTAATTCATAAAGAGTCTTATCCAAAGCCATTAAAGCCAGTAGAAATATCTCATTGACTTTAATGAGCTTTTGTTCACGTCCTTTACAAGACAGCTGAAAGACTGCCGTTGACTTCAAGCCCTAATTTTATAAACCTTTTTCATATCCTCATCTTGGAGGCATTTGGAAACATAAAAATGTACTAATAAGACCACTACATTTGTCAAACAAATCTCATAAGATAAAATTGAACTTTTTTTTTTTTTTTTTTAAATTCTGAGTGTTATTCAGTGCATGTGTGTACATCCAGGAGAATATATATATATGTATATCAGTTATTATATGCACTAAAAAGTGTTTCTCATGTTGGTTGCATATCATCTCTGGACTGCTGGATGTCAACTCTACATATCTGATTGGGACGAAGCACAGTTTATAATGACTTTTCCCTTGATTTAGCCAGAATGTCAGATCCAGAATATAAATTGTCACTTTGGTTTTATGCTGGTATTACTCTGGCTGTGAAAGCAAAGGCAATAACTGATCTGGCATAAAGTTACAAATGAAGTTAACCTTTTAACATCTTTAAGAAATTTGAAGCAGCAGAGAAGTTTAATACTTGATCAGTTCTTCATAATATGTCTCATGCATTTCTGATCTAAGAAAGCAGAAGCATTGCCAGAACAGTAATGTTAAATTTCCTATGCTGTCAAACTACAACCTCATAGTAAAAAGGCCCCCCCAAAATAGGAAAATTACCAGAATTGAAAACAAAAAGGAGAAACTTTGAAAAGGGTTATCATAATTATATAAGCTATTCATGACTACATTCCTGTAGCATGTCAGTTAAGGAACGCTAAGCTAATATCATAAAAGCTTGACTTCATTCTATAAGAATCTGAAAACAGTAACAGCTAATTGAGCAGAAATTGCTATTCTAGTCCAGGTAAATCTAATAAATTTCCATCAATATGCAATTCTTTATATGCCTACATAAGAGTAAAAAATACAAGTTCTCTGAATATTTATTGGCTTCTATTCAAAAGAGCTATTTTCAGTATTATGAATGGCTGACATGACATATTTCCAAACCTGAAACACACCAGTATCAAAGCAATAGTATTATATAACAACTGTCATTCTGTAATGTACAAAGCATTTTTTTTAAAGACAATGTGCAGTAACCATGCACTACCTAATTTAGTCCAATATTCTGGAATGGTAATTAATATTTAAGTTTTGATCATAGAGACAGTTAACGGAATTTCTAATACAGCACTACCCCCAGATGCCCTGTTATTTTCGTAGTATCTGTTAAGGTATTAATTTTATTCAAAGACATGACTAAGCAGAAAGGAAACACTAAACCTTTACAAATCTTAGTTAAAACATTTTCATTTTATTTACACACTTCAGGAAAATGTCTCTCCATGCCTTAACATTCCAATTTAAGTCCTATAAAAAACATGCAGTAACAAGAGATAACACAATTTATTTTATATTTTTATGAACCATGTAAAGATAATTTAATCTGCCAAGTTTTTACATTTTAGAAATTCATATCTCTCCAAAGGTGCATCTAATTTAGAACTTGATTGGTATCAAGGTTTTTGCTTTATCAAGCTAACCCATTAGGCCATTACACATATTGTTATTCTCCAAGAGAAAAAATTATTCTAACATCTGTTCTCAGTCTGTTTTTCCATAATTTCCTTTTATGCCCCATGTAACTCATTAAGCTCATCTACAAAATCTGCTTATACTATATATGCCTTTCTACCATAAGATTGTATGAAAACTGAAAAAATGGTAGCCTACAATATAATCCACTTTAAAAATACACTATTTTTACTGAATCTTTTGATCCAAGTATATCTGGTTTTTCAAGTCAGAATTGTGACACATGTAACATTTAACCTAAACTCTTAAGTGGCCTATATTCTAACAAAATGAGAAAAATGGGTTCATGTCTTACCATTGTGCAGTCTGTTCCTTATGACTGTTGCAGTTTTATGAGAGAAAAAGTGTTGAAGTTAAGAAGAATATACCTTCTGAACAGCTTGAAGAGAGTGATTTTAATTTTTTAATCCACTTGTGCAAGTGATCTTGAAGAGTATAGCATACAGAGGGGTAGAAAATGTCCCAGTAACCTAAAAACTAATATGTGTAGAGCGGAAAAGAACCTGAAGTCCAGCATGTTCTTCTAAATACACTTTTCATTTTACTCTACAGGTGAAAATTTTCAACATTTTATTATTCTAAAGCTAGTTTCCAGCCCTGTGATCTCTTCTGCCCCCTTCTGTCTGTATTCAGTGATTGCTTCTCTAATTCAATTTCAGAGGAAAATACCTATTTACAGCTGACTTGCCCATAACGTATTCATCAACACAACACAAAGGTCATTCTTCCTGCAGAAAGCTGAAGAACTCACTGTCAAAAACTGTCTTACTAGCTCTTGAAAGGTGCCACTACTGTAAGAAAAGTGACATACTACCCGACGTTAGCTAGCAGCTGATGACTAATGTGAGGTCAAGACTAGTGAAGACGATTTTCTAATATTTATAAACAGTAGTGAATTGAGTAAAAATTTGAAGGTATTCAAATTTACCCCAACATGCTATCTTGCATGAAATCTCCATGGTGCCTATCTTGAGGATTTTACCTTGTATTAATTTCTGCATGAACTGCTGTAAATCTGAAACCGATGCCTTATGCTCTGAGTCTGCATTGGCAATATATTTGTAAGTGAAAAGAAGATTAGTGGCTTTATGACTAGTATTTGTCTTGTGTACAGTAAGTGAAACAGAAAAGGAAAAGCCTACCAAAGGAGGAAACAGATACCTGCACGGGATAGACTGAATTAAATCCTGCAGGAAAGAACCTCTAAAACTATATGTTAGAAATTTTAGAAGATAGTACCAGGAAAACAGTAGTGAAAAGTGGCAAGAAATACAAGCATTAAAAAAAAGTGAGACAAAGCAAAAGAGAGGCAATGGCATCACATACTCCAAACCAGACAGGAGGCCTTTTTTGCTGAGAACAAATTATTTTAAGTTAATAATTGGGCTAAACTTCCAGAAGCCAGACAAACTCATAAGGTCCTTGCTGTCATTAGTTCAGTTAGAGTCAGTGGGGTGACGTCTGTATGAAATAGGTATGAAATGCAGAAGGGTGGAAAAATCCAGCCTTGACAACTTCCCTGTGACAACTGGTGGGGTTTTTTTATAATATTAGAAGAGTGTTGTCTCTTAAAGACACGTCAAAAACCTGCATATGGAATAGGGCAAAAAGGATTTATATTTTCACAGCAGGATGCACAGCTATTCCCTGCATGCTAGATTAAGTTAAAACAAGAACAGGAATCTACACAAAGTGTAACAAAACCAAAACCAATTCAAAACTGTAGTGCAGAGAAAGCATTTACTGTCTTCCTGATGAATAGATGCACACTTTTACCAGTCAAGAAACAGATTTTTCAGATTACATTTTGTTTTTACTCAATATGAAAATGGCCCTATACAAAGAAAACTTAAATATTTATTTTTGGGAAAGTTTTGAAATACCTCTACCATCATCCCCAGACCAATTTTACAGTTAACACTACTAAGCCCAGTTACAGTTTCCTATTTCTTTATCCCGCCACTGGTGCTAAAGCAAGACTGAGCCCCTGGGAGGGAACCATTCCAAATTACATCATCTGGCAACATGTCCTCGGGGAGCATCTGTCAGCTACAGGGAGCTGACTCGCCCTCTAGCTACTCCTCCTGTACCTCCCTCCAAATATAAAATCTCCACCACTTTTCTTTCCATGTGGGGGAATTAAAAGGTGTCTTTTTTCTTTTTATAACAGTCGAGAGCAAACTTATGCTCTTCAGACCAAGGTATTTTACACAACCTAATAATTCTCACAAAACCAATAAGAATACAATCACAATCAAGTCATACTTACTGTGTTGCACAAATTACTCAGGAGACATGTGCTTCTTTTCAGTTGCAAATTGTAAATGATATAGAAAATTGACTTACTGGCCCAAAAGCATTGCTGTCAAAGCTGTGTCCACGGTGATCACCTTCCACCCAAATGTGTCCATGTGGAACTTTCACATACTTCTTTTTGTATCCAATGGTTCTAAAAAGAATGACAAAAAATGGTTAGTTAAAAAAAAAAAAAAAAGTTTTGTTAGGAAAATTCACTTCCATATTTTCTTGGAATTTGACCTTGCATACCATCCAACACATGCTTAAAAAATGCTGAAGTCCTTTAGACCTCAAGCGTGCTACTAGAGTGAAAATATACATAACAATTTTGTATGAGCTAGTTGCACTATCAGGGCCTGTTTACTACATTGTTTTGGCAGAAATCATGTCACAACAGGGAACAAGAAACTTTTCAGTTAAATATAATTAAGGGACTCTCATTTCCATCTCTGTAGTAACAATTCTTTGAAACATCAGATTTTATCTCAGGTAAATGCCAGTGGACTCATGTTGCAGTCACATAAAGATACTATACTGAGAACGCTTTTCTTCTGGGGTAGCATTAGGTACTCATCAAAAATAGCCTCGCATATCTGAACTGACCTTGGATTCAGAGCTTGGATTCCTGTAATGCTTATGTCCTAGGGGTAGGATTTTTTCAGCTGTAACAAGCTAAACAGCATAAACTTAAAGAAAACCCCTAAGAGGAAGCCAAGTGCTGCAAAAAATGACATTGATGATTCAAGCCATTCTCCACAGAATTTCATACTGAAGCAGTGCCTCAGCATGCCCTGATATTACAAAAATTACAAACTACAGATAAGTCCCAAATCTGAGGCACAGAGTATGCAAAATTCCTGTATTTAGTTCCCAAGCAGCTGTCATTTTGACAATTCAGGTCTGCCTTCTATCATACACTTTCGCTTTCTTTCAGATGAGATCTGTTATTCTGCAATCATTCATGCAGGGAGGTGATTTTATCATACACACCAAATTATTACCATGACAAAGCCTTTGCAAGCAGGACTACAGATAGTCATACTTCTCATTTTGTTTTGGATAACCAAGTCTGTCCATAGACAGAAACAGACTTTTGATCTAGCTTGTTGCCTCCAGCTTCTCATCACTTTTCACCATCTGGAAGATATGCCCCCAAAGCAGGATGCAGAAGGAGCGCACTCTAAAACTAAAGAAAATCAACTGAAGAGAGAAATCACCTTCACCAGGAGATTCAGCTGAACTGTGCAATAGCACTGATGCTCACAGGTCAAAATGGGAAAACTGGTTTGGGTGAGGTATGTTTGGCTTCAGAGGGGTGGTGGTGAGGATGTTATAAGGACAAGCTAATTAAAAGCCTGGAGACCATGAATTATTAGATGAATAAGGAATCCTCAAAAGTGCATTTTATTAACTTTATTTTACTTTATTAGTCAAATAAAAATAATAATTATTTTGCACATCACAAAACCCAAACAGTGCTTTCCAAACAGCTTTTTCTGGCAGCTAAAAGGGTAAGCATGCCAAAACTATATTTTAATGGAAGTTCTACCTGTGCTTTCATTAGACGATGAAAAAATGATCACCTATTTGCAGAAAAAAGTACTTTGATTTTCATCTTTTTATAGAACAGCTTCATATTATACAGTATTCAAGACTGAGTTCCTAAAACATTCAAAACAAAAACCAAAACTGTCCTGAGTTGGTAAATATATGATTTCTTAAAGACAAAGAGTAGTTCTGTAATAATTTAATTATGCTAAAAGAGCAATTTATTACTATGCAATTGCTGCTTCTTTTTTTGTTTAAGAAATGTGGCATACAGTCTGGACAATAAAATTATTTATGTTTTGAGATTCCATAATGCTTTGTCTCACTAATAATTTCTTTTATAAAGTACCGTATGAGACTATATTTTACTAGAAATATGTTTCAAAATATGTGTTGAGACAAGTTGGCCATTAATTCTGTTCTGTCTGATTAGAGGTTCTGAAAATTATTAAATTAATATCTCCCATCAGTCATAAAGGCAAACAATAGCCAAAAAAATATTTCATTTTCTCTTCCATTCATCTTCCTGAATATAGAAGAGTAGATTGTGATAAAGTTTTGTACCTTTGCAGACTTCATGCAGAAGACTGAATATCACCCAGAAGGGTGAAAGGATTTGAAAGTTAATTCTGCTGACATGTTTACCTCATAAATGTCAGGAAAATAATATGGCAAATGCCAGTCAGTGACTTCATCTCAGACCAGACATAATCTCCTAGCCCCAAATGATCTCCTCCTTTATTATGATTAGGAAATCACTAACAGGAAGGGGGGAAAAAAGAAGGAAAAAAAAGCTTTTAAAATAAGTACTTGGAAACAAAAATGGAAATAATTTGGTCTGCATGGATAGGCCTTATAGAGATTTGCAGAGACCCAGTGAAAATAGAAAGGCTTAACAGAGGTGTATAATGTGTTCTTTAAGGCCTAAGGCAAAAAGAAAAAGATTACCGAGTGCAGTAATTATCATTGGTTCTTTTTATTATTTCTACAACATAGGAAAATGCATATTTCTTTTCTACTCTTAAATAACCATCATAAACCAGACAAAAATGCTACAATTATGCAAAAAAAGTCTCTTCGAGTGATTAAAGAGGAATTATGTACAAATTCTCATATTGAAAAAGCAGATGATTGTACACAAGTTTTGACTTAGAGGAAATAGAATTAAAATTGATGATGTTAATAAATGTATTAAGGGAATAGGGGAGAGAGAAAGAAATTAAAGAGAAACAGAAGCAGCAGTTCTAATTACCTACTTTAGTAGATAGGACTGATACTGAATGGATAAATCCCTCTGTAAACTCAGCAGATAAATGTAAAACCTTCTGCCATTTCATGTATAAGGTATGTAATTCATCAGATTTCTCCCACATGTAGGTCCAACAGAAAAGAATTCAAGATGTATAGTAAACAATAAGTACCTGTATACCTGTGAACCGTATACCTGAAGAGAGAGGCAAGAAAATCTATTTTCCTAAGACAATTCCTTCAGAATGTTAGTGTAGCATTTGCACAGGGCAGTTATCTAGGGACTTTGCACCAACTTCAGCAATTCTCCTGAAAAAAACTGTCCTGTGGAACACAGGTTGAAATCTGAAAACAGTTTTACTTGAGATTTTCACCGCATGGATTAGTAACGAGCTGCAGCAATAAGCTCATGTTACAGTAAATTGGATCATCCATTACTTAGTATTGGTTTTAATTTTCAAGATAATTTCATTGTTGAATTACTCCACAACAGATCAATAAACTATTCATGGAAGCAAACCAGGCTACAGGCTTCAAAAAGCCATATTCGGTTAACGACAGTAGGTTATTTTTAATTACTGTTGCAAAGACTACGTTGACTTTTTAAGAACAAAACCCTCCAAACTTCTTGTTTCCTCTCCTATGAAGAGATCACAAATTGTTTCATAATCAAAATTAGCCACTTAGTAACACTGCCACTCTCTCACACGCATCTTGCAGAAATTAAACACTTTAATCTCTGGCCTAAATTGCAAGGAGGAGATCGCGTGTGTGTGCTACACTGGCAATATGGCTCTTGCTCTAAATGTACAAACTACCATTCATTCATTTCACTAACTAATCATTTTAGTTAGACATACTGAGAGAAAATTATTACCCATCTTTTTGCGCAATCCTACAAGGACAAATTACTAACACTTACTGTACAACATCATATCTGAGAAGTGTTGACTCAACCCCTTTTCTTGAGGATAGCTTTGCAGGTAACTGGCATCCACTTTTCAGATTCAGGCCCATGTCAATAAATAACAATTATAGGTATAATGATCAATACTTCTGTGAAAATTTAATACAATAGAAAGTGAAAAGTAACTTTGGAATGCTTCAGGCACTCTTCAACAACAACAACAAAAACTAAAATCCTCAAGCCAAATAGCAATTAAAAGCACAATTAGCTTATCAGGAATTTTACATCAACTCCTTGTGAGAGGCCTTTGCTACAAAGGAAACGCAGTCAATAACATACTGTATATTTTGAAAGTAATGTAAAAACCTATTTTTCTTTCATAGTGGAGTATTCTTAGACTCATTTCTCTGAGTCTGTGTGTAATCTTGACCTCTGTTAGCTCTCACACATGAAGATTTTAATTAAATTTAGAAGTCTGAATGAATTCTTAGGAGAACAATTGGTGTAAGTAATAATTAACTTAGTATTTGTTAATTTCATATCTAGTTCATTAGCATGAGTTATAATTCCTGAACAATCTTTTACATTTCAGAAAGCCTCTACCAATAAAGAGTAGTCTTTCACTTTCTGAAACCTACTATCTTTGAAATAAAAATAAATAAAGACTGTTTAACACCTCTTATCCTTCCCGTTTTAAAGGTTTATTTTAAGAATAGCACAGGCAAAGACATTAAAATACCTAGATTTTGATACATAGTATTCAAGCATCTGTTAAAAACTATATTGCTGTGTGCAAAAAAACCTTCAGGTTTTACCACAGTCTTTGACAGGTTAGTAATAACTACCTATGCTACTGTCACTCAAACTGCAGTTAGACTCTCACTGGCTTAAGAACAGTCTACTAGAGTTGCAGTAATTTTCTTGATCAGAATGTAATGGAATTACATTTATCTCTTTAGTCATTTTTACAGAAATTGGTCTGAAATTCTGATTTTTTTTTTCTTACATATGAGGTACATTTTGAACTTTTGCAAAGTTTTTTTTCTCTATGATTTAATAGTTAACAGATGTACTTATATCTATCCTTGGCTGAGAAATAATTTCAATCCTGACAGTCAAAAATGAGCTCTATATGGTATTCTAACCACCTGCCCACAAGCAAGAAAAATCTGCTTTTTTAGGATGTGGTATCAGTGCCAAAGCAAGCAACTTGGCTCAGCTAAGTTCGATGAGGAATGATCGCCTTCAGTTTGATTTGACCTTGAGAAATCAGAAGGCCTCGGCAATCTGCATACTTCTTGGTGTCATCAGGGAAGAGACACTGTAGATAATTTCCCCTGTTTGCAGACAAGAGAATAAACAAATACAAACTCTTTTGTAAAACAGGTAGTGTCCGTCATACTTAAAAGCAACTTTTTCCAAACAACATAAATTGCTGTACATGGAAT